AAGATGCAGCACGAGGACTGGGAACCACGTGAAAGCTGGAAGGGCTGCGCGGCGAGTAGTGCTTCGGAGAAGCCGAGAGGAAGCCGAGGGGAGCCGAGTGTGGCCGAGCCGAAAGGGGTCAAGCCGAACGTGGCCGAGCCATGCCGAGTGGGTTGGGGGCAGCGGTTGGTGGGGAGAACGGCGCAATGACGTCACTGGCGTGGCACGTGGTGGCCGAGAGTGGGGGCGTCGTGGGGCCTCAACTGGACTGCAGGTGGTTGGGCCTCATTTGTCTGCCTCCACCCAGACCCCGGCTGGCAGACAGCACTTGCCGAAGGGGGACCAGGGAGCAGCACCGGCAAAGGCCCCGAGGCAGGAGGGAGCGCGGTGAGTGCCTGGCCCAGACCCCTGGGCCGTTTTCCCGGGCGGCGTGGGCCTTCTGAGCGCCGCGGGGCAGCGGGCGGGGGGACCCAGGTCGGGCTGCCGTGTGGGATGCCGGGCCCGCCCTGGGTGTCGGGGGGGGGGGGGGGGGGGGGGGAGGGTGGAGAAGGGGGTGGAGGAGGGTGTACTGGGCCGGTAGAGCTTTGAACCTATTTCCCCTGAGGGCCATCTGTCGGGTCCCAGAGCCAGGACCATAGTTGGGAGCAGCAATTTGAGGGCCCACCTGGGCACCATTGTCCCTGTGTGAATTTGCTTTGGTGAAAACTGCGCCTCCTTTTCTGAGGGACACTAGATACCCCCTGCCCCCAAAGCAGGCCAAGCCTACTGTGTTCTTCCTGGTAAGCTCCCAGCCCCAGGGAGGCTCTGGGTGATGGCAGTGGGAGGCCAGGTGAGAGGTACAGAGCTGGCAGCCAGGTGGAACTGGCCATACCCACCTCAGCCCAGCATCCCCCAGGCAAGTCCTGTGGCCTCCTCTTGTCGTTGGTCTGATTGGCCAAAGCCAAGGGGCCTGGCCAAGAATGAACGCTCCCTTGTGAATATACAGGAGGCAGGGAGTCCAAGCCCGTCTCGCCAGGCCCCCTGCTCAGACCATCTGCACCCAGCAGCCAGATCAGAGCAGGTCACCTCCACGTTCCCCGTCAATCTGGAAATTCAAACTTTCCACCAAAGTCTACCGGGCACCACGAGCCCTGTGCCCTGCCCATCCGTCCCACCTTTTCACTTTGCTGACCTTCTTGAATGGTTTGTTAAATTCCTTTCCACTGAGCTCCTTGGCACTCGCCCTTCCCTCTGCCTGGACGGCTCATCTCATCTGCTGTCTTTACCTGGCTGGCGCCTTCCTGTCATTCCAGGCACAATAATAATTTCAGTGCCATCTCAGAGAAGCCTCCTGATCTTTCTCTCTAAAAGAGCCCCATCCACTGTCCAATTACCCTGTGGAGTTTTCATCTGACCGCTGTCACTATGTACTTGGAATGCCCCTTTTCCTTTATTTCATGTTTAGTTATTTACTGTCCAAAGCCCTGAATGTAAACTCCGTGAGCAGGGACCAGACCCCCTCTGTTTTATTCATTCCTGTATCCTTTGAGCTTAGAATAATGCTTGGCTGGGCACAGTGGCTCCCACCTATAATCCCAGCATCTTGGGAGGCTAAGGTGGGAGGATTGCTTGAGCCCGGGAGTACGAGACTGGCCTAGGCAACATAGACAGACCCCATCTTGGCAAAAATAAATTAGCCAGGCATGGTGGTGCATGCCTGTAGTCCCAGCTACTCAAGAGGCTGAGATGGGAGGATCGCTTGAGCCCATGAAGCGTAGGCTGCAGTGAGCTGTGATCACACACTGCACTCCAGCCTGTGTAACAGAGACCTCATCTCTTAAAAAAAGGAGGAGGAGGAGGAGAAATGCATAATGGCTGGAACACAGGAGGTGCTCAGTCAGTGTTTGCTATATGAACCTCAGCTATCATTATTGGCGCCTCATCATTTAGAGATGTATTTGGCACCTGCCACGTGCTTCTGTAAGCACTTTCTACCTAGAAAGAGGCTCAGCTCACCACTTCCTGGGATAATGACAGTACCTGCTCTTAAGGTTGGGAGGACCAAGCAGGTGGAGGTGAGGCCTAGGAATATGAATTTTCACCAGATTCCTCCCTTATCCCATCCCCTCTCCCACTACATGAGAAACCCATCCTGGGCTGAGCAGTGATTCATGCCTGTAATCCCAGCACTCTGGGAGGCTGAGACAGGAGGATCACTTGAGCCCAGGAGTTCGAGACCAGCCTGGGCAACATAGTGAGACCCTGTCTCTACCAAAAACAAGGAAACTAGATGGATGTGGTGGCCCACCCCGGAAGTCCCATCTACTCAGTCCCTGGGCTTAAACCCGGGAGTTTGATTCTGCAGTGACCTGTGATCTTGCCACTGTGCTCCAGCCTAGGCAACAGAGCCAGACTCTCCTCTCTCTCCAAAAAACAAAAAAGAAAAGAAAAGAAACCTGTCTTGTTTACAGTGGGATGGACTTGGTCCAAGTCCCGGCCATCACTTTTGAGCTGTATGACCTTGAGTAGGTGGCTGCACTTGAGTAGGTGGCTGCACTTGCCTGAGCCTCCATTTCCTCATCTGGAACATGGGGGCCAGAGTGTGCAGGGGTGGCTTGCAGTCTGGTCACAGGCTATCCCTGCACCCACATACAGTCCTTGTCATTCCAGAGAGCACCTCTTTTCTCGTGATGCCTGCCTCATGCTGCCCCGGCTCATCCACTCACCTTCACTGCACCTGGGCCCCCAAGTCAGTCCTTTGCACACACAAACCCTCCTCTCACTTTTCATTCTTGTAAATTGACGTCAGCGCTGCTGAATCATGAAGCTGAGGTTTGGGGGGTGGGGATCTGCATCACCTGGGAAGCCACATGGCGTTTGCGTGCGCCTGGGCACAAACACACACACACACACACACACACACACACAGCCTTTTCCCCCTGCAGTGGTGCCTGCACACACTTTTAGTTACATGGGATCTGGGGTGCAGCTCCCAGGGCGTTGAGGTCACTGTACCTACGTTAGTATAGATTTATTTTAAATGACTCATAAAGGGAGGAAGGGGCCAGCTCTGGGAAGTGTGATCAGAGGGGCCTTTATTCTTAGCTGTTCTGTTTTGAGTTTTGTAAGGGGAATGGGTTTGGATACCCAGCACTGTGTAAGGAAAATGTAATTTTTACACTTTTTATAAAGGAGGGAAAAAAAACCCATAACATATTGCAAGCTACCTGCTAGATGACCTCTCTTTAGAGGAGGCCCTGTTTTCTCATCTGTAAAATGGGGATGCTCACAGTACCTAAATGGGAAGGCTGGGTATGAGCTGAATGCTTTACATAGGTGATGCGGGACCTGGGAGCAGTCTGTGCACAGTGAGTGCTATATAGAAATATGAGCAGCTGGTGCTGTTATTATTGCAACGGTTAGGTCCTCAGGTTACCTAGTGGTACCCAGCCTCTAAAAAAATCACGAGTGGGTTTGCACAATCTGGCTCCACCCCTTGTTGTGGTCCTGCTTTGCCTCCCTGAGCCTGTTTCCCCAGCTGTAAAATGGGGCCAGCACAGCCAGTGAGCGGTCACTGAGGGTCTGTGGGTATCACTAGTATTACAACTCAATCCCCAAGCATTGCTGCCTTGGATTTCTGTTTCTCCAGACACTGCCCAGAGCAGGTAACAGAGGGGAAAGAACAAGGACAGGACTTAATTAATCCACAGCAGAGAAGGAAGGGTAGGGGTGTGGCTAAAAAGAACAGAAACAAAAAGAAAAAGCAGAGATTCTTTGGAGGTAGAGACAAGACACCGCCTCCCTCCCTCCCACTTCACCTGACTGAGGGATGAAATTGCCAAAGCTCTCTGAGATCCTAAATCTCTTCTGGCCATCCTTAAAGGCCTGAAGCCTATTTAATCCCCAAGACAGGCCTGCACTGCTCTGGCTCTCTGACCATCAAGTGAATTTTTATGCTTTGCTTTTGAGTCTGAAAGGTATTATTAAGCGTTAGGGCACTATTACAAGTGTGTCCAAGGCTGCAGAGGGCCATTCTGGCTTCTAAAGATGGAGTGTGACATGGCCACCAGGCTGCTGAACCCTAAACCTGAAAATGACTCAATTCACCAAGTGTGGACTATTCCCTTCAAGTTGCCAGCGTGGTCCATGTGTCAGGCTGGCTGAAGACAGAGAAGGTGCCAGACACCCAGGTCCCGGGCACTTTCTGGTGCTGTGGGTCAGCCCCACAAACATCCTGGAGCCACCCTTCCCTTCCCTTCTCTGGCTCCTGAAAACATCAACCTCCTCCATGATGTGCAGAAAGTTGCCTTTAGAAAGGCGGGAGGCCCAGGGAAGCAAGGGGAATTGCCCTAGCCGCCGGCGGCACCCCCCCACCACCACAGACCACACAGCCTCTTTCTGGCTCCAAGTGGTGTGTTCACCAAAAAGTACACAAGACACAACAGGGTGAGAAGGAAGCCAGACCTAGCCCTGTATCCCCCATCCCATCCCAAATATGTGTCCCTTGATGCTGGTTCAGAATGTGCCACTCTTCCTTCCAAAAACTAAGCCCCCACCCCCATCCTCTTCCTGGAAGTTGTTGTGGTCATAGAACCAAAGAAGTTTCCTCTCTGTTATCCATTTCAAGCAGATGCTTAGTAGGCAGCCAACCAAAAAAAGCCCAAGTGTCGTCTTTGACACAAGAATGGCCACGGCGGATTTACTCAGGTTTCCCTTCTGCAGAATGGGAATCAGACCCCTGCCTCACAGGACGGTGCCTCTCTCTATATAGGGTTAAGTACATAGAAGTATGCAAAGCACATAACTAGGGCTGGCACACACAGAGTGCTCAGTTTCGAGCTGCTGCCTTACCAGACACACGCCAAAACTAGACCAACCGTTTCTCTCCCTGGAGAGCTGTGGGTGTAACTGTGAGGGGTGCCCAGCCACAGAGCAGGCCCGTACTCCACCTACAGCCCAGCAGGTCAGCCTTAGGGCCCTCTCTCCCCTGGACCTGTTCAGAATCAAGTTACACTTTTGGCCAAAGCACACGCTCTAGAAACTTTTTAAAAAAAAACTTTCATAATAAAGTTTATTACATAAACTGGCTGTAAAAAATATAAAATAGGATTCTGCACAGCAGAAAAATAAAGCCAGAGACCCTCCCCCAACCCCTGGTTTGTGCAAAGATACTGGGTATATGTAAACATGAAGAGGTAGGAGGTGCGAGTTCAGGTCCTGGCCCCAGATACAGTTAAGTTAAGCTGCTACAACAACCAGGGGGACCCAGAGGGAGCACCAGGAGGGGGAGCACCCCTTCAAGAGGTGAGGAGGGGGTCTGCGGCCTCACCTCCAGCCGAGAGCAGGAGGCGCCTCACCCCTACCGCCTCTCCCTTCAACCCAGGCCGGAGAGGGCACCCACGTGGTCCCAGGCAAATAACAACAGAAAATAACAGGGCGCCCCAGTTAATGCTCCGTGCACGGCGTGGCCGGTCAAATCTGAAAGGGGAAGGAGCTCAGGTAGTCGCGGAGAACGGGGTTGAGGGGGATGCGCGCCAGGTTCTCGCGGCCCACGGTGGCCACGATACGCTGGCGGCACAGCTCTTGCAGCGGCCGTACGCGGCGCTGGCGCAGCGGGGCCCCCAGCATGCGGCGCGGCGCCGCCACGTAGTGCTCCAGCAGTTCGAAGAGGCAGTCGAAGCTCTCCCGGCTGCCGTCCAGGTGGAAGCGGCCGGCCTGGAAGTGTACGCGGATGCTCGTGGGACCCGAGGCCATCTTCACGCTGAGGGCGAAAAAGCAGTTCCGCTGGCGGCTGTCGCGCACCAGGAAGGTGCCCACGGGCTCCGCGCGCAGCCGCTCGTGCGCCCCGTGCACGCTCAGGGGCCCCCAGTAGAAGCCGCAGGCGTCGAGGAGCGCGCTAGCGCGCGTGATGCGCCGGTAATCGGCGTGCGAACGGAACGTGCGGAAGTGCGTGTCGCCGGGGACCGGGGCCGGGGCCGCCGGGCACGGCCGCGGGCGCGCGGGGGGCGCGGACGAGGAGGAGGAAGAGGAGGAAGGCTCTGGCCGCCGTCGAGGCTCTGCTGCTGTGGAGACTGCATTGTCGGCTGCCACCTGGTTGTGTGCTACCATCCTACAGGAGGGGCCAGCCGGAGGGGTGGGCCATAGCGTCCGGGGGTGCGCTGCGTGGGAGAGAAGGCGGTGAGCCGGGGCGCTGCGGGGCCGGGCAGGTGAGCGCCGGCGCGGCAACTCCGGAGGGCGGCGCTCCCGGCCCTAGGGAGCAAGCAAGGAGCACCAAGTCCGCGCGGCTCCGTTCAGCCTCAGTGGGCACAGCTAGAAAACGGGCTCTGCATTCCGCGCTCTTCCCGGCGGGTGGGGGCTCGGTGGAGGCGGAGTCCGGCCTCGGGGCACAACCGAGACGGGGGCGTGGAGAGCAGCCGGCTCCGGCTACAGCCGTCAGGACCCCACTCGCCGCCCCGCGGCCGCCGCCTGCTGGCCAGGCCGGGATCGGCGCCCGGTCCGGGCGATTTGGGTTAGCGCCGGAGAAAGGCAGTGCTGCTGGAGACCCGCGGGCGGGGGGCGGCCTGGGTGGGGCCGCCGAGGGCCAGGGGCGTGGCGGCCGCGACCCCATCCTGCAGCCCCTGAGGCCCGCCGGACTCCCGGCTGCCCTGGACTCCCCTCCCTCCTCCCTCACGCCTCCACGCCCAGGGACCGGCTCACCTGGCGGCGGTGCGCGGGGCGCCGCGGGCGGGGCGGCGGGGGGCTCCGGGGGGCTCCGGGGCGGCTCTCGCGCATGCTCCGGCGCCTGGAGCCGTGCAGCTGCCACGGCCGCAGCTCGTTCTGCCCGGCGCCCGCCCCTGCGCCAGTCTTTTAAACCGCACGGAGGCGGGGCGCGGGAAGGCGGGAGGCCCCGCCCCCGGCCGGCCCCGCCCCCAGCTCCACTTTCGGTTTCTCTTTCCGCGGTGGCGCCGGCGGGGCCGCTCCGGCGCCTCTTACCCGTCTCTTCGGGACCCTCCCGCGGGGCTCTCTGCCTGCCTGTTTGCACCTGTCCCAGCACCCGTCCCTCGAGGGGCTCTGGCTCCGCCCCTGCACCTTCCGGCCACTTCTTAGACGCCCCCTTCGGCCTTGGCGACCCGGCTTTTGCCCCGCTACATTAGGTTCCACTTTCTGCCCCCAGGTCCTCTTGGGACGCGCCCTGACACACCCTCTTCTGCCCCAGGTGTCTCCACACCCGCCGGGGACAGAGCCCTGTACTCTCTTCCCCTGCAGCCAGATCGGCCCGAGATCCCCCAGAAGGTGTCCCCAGCCCTGAGCGCGACCCCACCCGTAGACCCCTTTCTAGCTCCTGCTCCACCCGCCGTCGACCCCCATAGTCGCCCGCCCTCCTGTTCCGAAGCCCCGGCCGGCGGCGGTCTCTGGTCTTGGCTCGGGCTTCCCGGGAAGCGGCGGTCTGACCACAGGCTTCAGAGGAACCCCTGACGGCGCGGGCGCCTCCACCCCGGCCCAGTTCCTCGGAAACTGGGCGGGGCCGGGCAAGGTCCCTGGTGGCTTGACTGCCCTCGCTGCGCTCCCACTGCTCGACAGCGGAAGAAACTGAGGCCGGGGAGGGGTTGGTATTTGCAGTGGCTTGCAGATTGGGAGCTCTGGACCTGGATTCTGCCCTCCCCGTCTTTATTTTGGGTAAAGGAGCAGCTGGGAGAGATCAAGTTGGAGCCCAGTGGAAAAATGGTGCATTTTCAGAGTGATGATTCCCAAATCCTGCTTTCTTAGCCCTCCTCTCCCCTACCTCATAGATTTCCCCCTGCTGCTGCGTCAAGCATCTGCCCTTCAAAGACTGCCCTCCCACTACACACATGCCCGGGGCCTGGGATGGTGAGCAGTGGGTGGTCAGGGCTGTAATTTGCACACGTGTTTGTGATTTAGTGATTCCGGCTGCCGTGCAAGGCCATGGATTATGTGCCTGGCTGCTCCGTGTATTTTTGAATTAAGGTATATGGGGAGCCACATAAAAGCTTGGCTAGGCTGGGGGCCTGGTGACTGGCCTCACGCTGGCACACACTGCCCTCTACAGACCGCTCTCAGGCGGCAGCCCAGACGGCTTCTCCCCTGGAAGCCCTGGTGCCTGGTCCTTGCCGCCTCCCGGGCCTTGTGTTGCCTCCTCCCCCAAGCAGAGCCTGGGTCCTTAAGTTTCCTCCGGGGCACAGGGGGTGGCTTAGAACCAGGCCGGCTGAGCACCCCATCAGCACCCTTAATCTGTGTGTGGCCAGGGCTGTTGGTGGTCATCGGTGTAGGTTGTGTGTGTGCAGGGGGTAGAGAGAAGATGCAGACAGAGCCTTGCCTGCACCAGGGGTCCGGTGTGTGGTCATTTGAGGGATGGCCACTGGACATCTGCTAGGGGCCACCCTCTGCAGTGGGTGATGGATAAAATACAAGGAGACCCAGTTCCAACTCTGCACCTTTCTATTCTTGTGACCTTGAGCATGTCGTTAACCTCTCTGCCGTGGTTTCTTCATCTGTGAAATGGGGGAGGATAATAGTAGTACCTGTAGCAGGGTGCAGTAGTTCATGTCTATAATCCCAGTACTTGGGAGACCCAGAGGGGAGGATCACTTGAGCCCAGAAGTTTGAGACCAGCTCGAGAAACAAAGTAAGATCCAGTCTCTACCAAAAAAAAAAAAAGTACAAAAATCAGCCAGGCGTAGTGGCTTGCACCTGTAGTCCCAGGTGGCAGGAGGATGGCTTGAACCCAGGAGGTCAATCACTGCATTCCAGCCTGGGCAACGGAGTAAGACACACTCTCTCTCTCTCTCTCTCTCTCTCTCTCTCTCTGTCTGTCTCTCTGTCTCTGTCTCTGTCTCTCTTTCCCACTGTATAGAAAAGCCTTCTGCCAGAGACCCTGTCTCAAAAAGAAAAGAGTCAACAGTACCTGCCTCCCAGGGTTGTGTGGGAATTAGACAATTATGGGTCAGGTGCATAAAACAGCCCTTAGTGTACACTCAGCACTCAGTAGGTGTTTGCTGTTGTTCATTCAAGGGTCCCTGTGGGTGTGGCAGTGTGTTGGAGCCCACAAACACATGGCTTCAACCCCTGTGTCCATTTTTTAATAGAAATGGAGTCTTACTCTGTTGCTCAGGCTGGAGTGCAGTCATAGGATCATAGCTAACTATAGCCTCCACCTCCTGGGCTCAAGAGATTCTCCCTTCTCAGCCTTCTGAGTAGCTGAGACTACAGGCACATGCCACCACACCTGGCTAATTTTTTAAATTTTTTGTAGAGATGGGGTCTCACTATGCTGCCCAGGCAGATCTCAAACTCCTGACCTCAAGCGACCCTCCTCCATCCCACCCCTGGCCTCGAAAAGCCTTGCCTTGTATCTGTTAGAAGCCCTAGCCAGGGGACCACAGGCCAGGGAAGGCACAGCAAAGGAGCAGGAAAGCATCTCAGCGTACACTCAGCACACGTGGGTTCTCCTCACTGCCACCAGTGACAGACAGCTTTGGTTTCATTTTCTGAAGTCCTGTGTTCAAAATGAAACCAAATCCAGACGCCAGAGGAGGAAAAGAAATCTCCTGATTGACAAGCATCCGCCTTGTGGGCCGTTCTCCCTGGAGGGCTGGGTGCCAGGTTCACTGGAAGCCAGGCGTCACAAAACCCTGAGCGGCTCAGACTGCTTGGCAGGATGGGACCAGGCTTTGACTCCAGACTTGCTGCGTGACCTTGGGCAAGCGACCTGCCCTCTTGGGACCTCACTTGCCCCAATGGCAAAGTGAGCTCTGGACATCTTGTACTTCGCAAAGCAGCCAGACATACAGAGCCAAGGGCCAAAAGCCAGGCATGGAGTCGGGGCTTGGCACAGTGACCTCTTGCCACAGGGCAGATGGACCAGCTGTCTGTCTGCAGTTTGCTGAACCACAGCCAGATGTGTGGGAATGTTCTCCTCCCTACTTTGGCGGGTCCTTGTACCCCAGATGTGGGGGGCCCAGCCAGCATCTGGGGAAAGTCAAGATCCTGGTGACTTATGACCCTCAGCTTTTCAGTTTCTCTTTCCAGCTTTGGTGGCACTTTGCTGGGAAAAGCAGCTCCTGAACACTATGTGTAATCATGAAACTGCCCTCTACTCTGAAATTCCTCAGCCCTCCTTTTCCTCTAACCCGTGTGTCAGCGAGGTTCCCATGGTAGCCTGTGCCCCTGGGAGTCCCGAGCAGTAGCGCTCACAGTGTGGATTCTGCTGACTGCTGGTCTGAATTTAAATTGGTCATTTCGTAAGCATGTGACCTGGGGCCAGCTTCTTAGCTTCTCTGTGCCTCAGTTTTCACATTTGCAAGATGGGGTAATAACGTGTCTATTTCACTTCTTCGGTATTTATTGAGCAGGTATTTATTGACTGAGTTCTTACTGTGTGCCAGGCACAGGAGACTCAGAGGTCTTCAAGCAGCCCCAGGGAGGCAGTGAATTCACACCATCATTGCAGATCATACATGGTGCTGTGTGGGAAAGAAACAGAGAGAAAGGCGTGACTGGTTATTTGTTGAGTGAGATAAGTAGGGGATCTTGAGGCTAGGAAAGGAGCGTTGGTATAGCGAGCCGGGAGGGGGGCACAGGAGTGAGGCATGGTGTTGCAGGGTCTGATCCATCTGGCAGGGCCTTTTGCCCTGAGTGCCTGGGACAGCGTGAAGGCCCAGGAGGCACCATAGGACTGGGTGTAGAAAGAGCCCTCTAGCTCTTTAGCCATGCCGAGCTGTAGTAGTGGTGGCCTTGGGACACTTTCCCATGGTCGGGAGAGGTTGCTTTGATGTATGTGATAGATCCCTTCTGCTCCCACCGCTGGAACGCTGTGTGTCTCAGTGGCGGATAGAGGGGTGTGAGTTCAGGGCACCCAAGTCCAAGGAGAAGGTGTGAGAGGCCAGGGAGCTATGGCCTGAGCCAGTGGCTGGACTCCAAAGTGGCACCAGTCCTGGGAGACTTGGTGGGGCTCTTCCTGCGGGCCCAGGTGAAAAGAGAGATGAGGTCAGCCGTTCCTTGAAGGAGTCAGTAGTAACCGGCTTTCAGAAAGCAGTCACGATTTTTATGTGAACAGCTGTAAAATAGGAGGGGCAGGAAAGTAGAATTCTGGGAATGCTGGTAGAGGAGCCCCGACACGCCTGCTTCCAGGCCCAGCTCCCTCCCCATCAGCTGTGTGGCTTCGGTCATGTTGATTTAATCCAGTGACCCAGAGAACTGTCACAAAGCCCAAGCCAGGAAGCGCAGTGCCCACTCTGCAGTAACTCCCTTGGGCTCTTGTTCACAGGCTATTGACTTCCACTTTTGCACAGTATTCTAAGAAGCCTCACCAGTTTCCACCCAACCTACCCCATCCATAAGTGACAAATTAGGTCTCAACAGCTGACAGCAAGGACCAGTCGCAGTGACATAGTGGGGAAAGAACTTGCAGAAGCTATGCGGCTACACACAAGAGCTAGCACACAGCAGGCTGGGGACATTAGAGTGTGGGCAGGAGGGTTCCTCATGTCCGTAGCCCCACTGCAGTGATGCTGTGTAGAATGTCGGGTGTCGCCATGTGAGGTGGCAGTGGGCCCAGTTCTCTCTGAGGATGCGTCTGGTCTCAGGGCATGCAGACCAGTAGCAGTCTCCACACATGCCACATGTGGGAAGCCCAGTGTCTGCTGCCCACTTGGCAGCGCCCTAAGCAGGCTTAGGGAGAGGTGATCCTCAACTGAGTTATGAAGAATGAGCGTCACTTGAGCTCAGGAGTTCAAGACCAGCCTGGGCAGCGTGGCAAAACCCCATCTCTACAAAAATAAAAAAAAAGTTAGCTGGGCATGGTGGTCCCTGCTATTTGGGAGGCTGAAGTGGGAGGATCACTTGAGCCTGGGAGGCAGAGATGGCAGTAGGCTGAGGTCACACCACTG